AGAACCATCCGACGGACCCCTCGAGGTGCTTGAACCTGCCGAGTTCTTGCCATCTCCTCCGCTCCATCAAAAAAAGTATTTGTCTTTCAATGTCTTTCAATGTCTTTCAATGTCTTTCAATGTCTTTCAATGTCTTTCAATGTCTTTCAGTCAAATTTTGGACACCCATCCTAATTAACACTAGGCCCCGCTGGAAATGTTTGAGGTGCCTGAAAACAGCAAAACTTTATCTTGGCATAGCCCAGCAAAGGCGCCTATGCCAGCTTCCAGCAGAGCATTGGAGTCATGGCTATGCCATGGCGACAATGGTCGCACCAATGTTCCGCGAACGGTTTGCCAACGTGGGGTTGGGATGGGCTGTACTTAGGCGGCTGAGTGACTTAGTGTTGGACAGAATTCGGAAATGTCGTGCCCAAAGGCTGGTTGTTTGCGCTGCAGCCTTGATGGCCCTGCCGGCATCACCGGAAACGCCCCCCCTTCAGGACGCTAGGTGCTGTTCTGGCGGCGCGGCGGCATGATCTCAGGATGTAAATCTGGATTTGCAAAAATTCTGCAGGATGACCCCTTGACTCCGTTCCCCAATCTAGAGTAGAGCATAAAAAAGGAAACTTTAGCGGCATTCCATGCATTGCTCATCTGCAGAGTACAAGCTTGATTGTAATTCACCTTTCATGGGAGAAAAGAGTCTGCCACTTTCTTGCCTCATAGCAAATCAACGAGCTTTGCTTCATGAATCCCTGAAAACTGACATGGCCTTTTGGAAAAATTCAAAATCTGAAATTAGATTTCAAACGGAGCACCAGGCGTTGTAGCTGATTTCAACAGGTCAGAGGTCAGCTGGATCTAACCATAAGAGTTTTCCTCCAATAACAATTGACATGGATTGACATGGATTGACATGGATTGACATGGATTGACATGGATTGACATGGATTGACATGGATTGATTCACAATATGTTCCCCCCAAACTCCCGAAAGCGGGGTGTCTTACATGCGCCGGCTTGGCAGCTCCTGCAGGTGACCCGTGGGGACTCAAACCAGCCATGCTGAACAGGCACAGCAACAAAACACACCAACAAAACAAGAAGAGAGGAGTCCTTCTATTATGAAATATATTATATTATTATATTATATAGATATACATAAACATTAAGTAACACTAGTTGGCATTTACATTACTAGTAACATCAACATTGACATTTGGATTGACATTAACATTCTCATCAATCTAACACAACATAGCACTATACGACATTCTTACTGCAAGTAAAAGCTGGAACCTTTCTTTTGGTGACACTGGTCTTGAAGGAGGTCTGCATGGAAGATCATCGCATCAGGCCCGGCTCGGCGCTTGGACACATTGCACCCATGCCCTTCCAACAGAACTTGAAAATGAGGAGATCTCTATGTTTCGCGACGTTGTATTCAGCCATGCCAATTTGGGGATTCGGAGGATCATGGCATTCTGTACATTCGCACCACGAAGTCATCGGGATACATCAGGTAATAATATCAGGCATCATTGCAGGATGTCACAAGTCCTTGGTGTCGCCTCTCCTGCACTTGTGCCTGACACCATCACCTGCAGCGCTTCGACTTCCACAAAAAAATCACTCTGTGTACATGGCCAGTTCTGTGGAATATCAACTACAAACAGTTTAATACACTTACAACATATTCAAAATCCTCAGAATATCATAATATCCTCTATTTTTCCCACCTATCCGGCCTTCAAAGTGGCAACTGCAAGGGGCTCGGGTAGCCGCATCCCTGATGTGACTCTTGTGTCATTTACATCCCTTCCCTGAGCACACCTCCAGAGATCTGCTCCAGCGCATCAATGCAGGCTTTCACCACACGCCTCAGGATGTCATGGCGGATGAACTTTGCTTCGTCAGCGCCTCTCAACATGGAAAACTGCTGAGGGTCCCGTCCAGTTCTTGTCCTGGGCAGGAAGATGAAAAGAAACTGTGTCGTGAACGTCAGGCAGGGTATGGAAGACCCAACATAGTTAAAGAAATGTTAAAGACTTGTTCATGGTTGTGGGCAACCATCCGCACGTTCGAAGTTGCTAGAACACCGGTGATGACCATGGCATGTAAACTGTTGCCCCCGCTAGTTTCCACATTTCCCCAACTCGGATGGAAGCAAATCCAAAGCGGCAATGCCGTCATTTCATGCCGGCAGCCAGTGGGGGAGAAAGATTTCGTCCAAGGATGGGATTTTTTTATTGTGAAGACAAAATCTGAATTTGGGGCTGCAATCTAAGACCAGCGGAGCCATCGATTGGGCGGTCATCTTGAGAAAAGCATCCCATTTTTGGGTGGTAAACAGCGACTTGACCCCGCGCCAATTTCACGCATCCTTTTTCGTGGCAGTCTGGCAAGTGGCTAAAGGCTGAGTGATCCAGTGATCGCGTTGGCTCGTAGAGAGGCCAAGAACGCAAAAAAAAGGAAAATGTCTCCAGCATGACAGGGCCAAATTGAGTCTTGATCGACTTCGTCCCCCAAGAAACTGGTGTCGTGCTGAAAACTGCTGGGGTCTCAACCTTCACGCACTTGCCGACAAGTGTAACTTCGCCATTCACGCGGCATGACACAGCTGCAAACGATGAAGCAAGTGCCAGATGCGTTGTGGAATAAAGTTCGATTCAAACTCTGTACATCTCAGGTTGAGGCGGTTGAGGGGCCCTAAAGGATGCTGGACTTATCGCCTCCAGCGAGCCGGGTGTTTTTTGAGCGGGATTGCTTCGCCAGTGTGGGACATGCATCGATTGCTGTCCATGTTACAGATGTTCAAAATATTGGTACTGCAGTGGCTGTCCATAGCCGCTATAGCCCATGCCATAAGCGCCATAAGGCTGATACATTTCATTGGCAAAGTTCTGGAGCTCCTGCAGAGTTTGAGCATTGTGGAGCTGCTGGGCCAGAACCTGCGATCGCAACTTTTGAAGTTGGATCCGCATTTGTTCTAGCTGCCTCAACTGCAACAGCTCACTCAGCTGACTCAATTGCAACACTTGCTGCTCCCACTTTGCCGAAATCTCGGCCAGAGCTCTGACGTTTGTTCCTTCTGCTCTGTCTTGACCACATCCGATGCCAGAGCAAAGGAATCTGGTCACCCGGCTCGGCTGCACATCCGGAGACCCAGAAACATCTTCATCAGTGTCCCCACTGCTGCTGGCAGCACCTCCAGGGCGTGGTTAACCAATGGGACACCATTTGGGACCAGCAATCCAATACTATTTCCAATGCAGCTTTTGCCTGGAGCCTGCTAAGAGGTGCAAGAAAGCTGCAGCCAAAACAGCTACTCGCGCAACATCACAGGAAACAAACCCCAAACCACTCAGTGTCTTCACTCTCCCAAGAACAAGGCAGATGTGATTTGAATTATTTCTTGTTGGTTCATGTTGGTTCATGTTGGTTCATGTTGGTTCGGGGTCCCGTCAATGACCAAAGAAAAGTCAAAGCCGGCAAAGCCAACAGCACCACAGTGGCTCCTGCAATAAAGGCGCCAAGCGATCTACGTCTGCAGCGCTGGAGCCCATAAAGCCAATGGCCTGTGCATGGTCACCAGAGACACAAGGGGAAGGGCGCCATGCTGGCCATAGGGGGGCCATGAACGGGACACATCCAAAGGCATCTTGTTTTTTCACCATCGTGTGTCCAATTTTGTACGGTTTTAAATGGTTTTTTCCCTATGTTTCGATCTCCCCCAGAGCTTTCACTTTTCAGCCACCTATTTGGAGGTGTGCAGCCTTGGCGCTGGCTCCCTGCCTGTGAGGCAAGTGCTCGAACCTCCGGATCCTCATCGTCAAGCCTTGGAATTGCGAGCGACACTGCGACACTCAGAAATAGACGCACAGTTGAAACACACAGAAACATGTGCCAAAGATTGCCAAAAGTGTGTCCAAAGTATTCAGATCTATTCAGATCTTCGCCACCAAATGGCCGTTACAAACATGGCACGTCTCAAGGCCTAAGACCTCACGGGATTCTGGTTGCTAAGCACTTCTCGCATTATGGTTGTTCCAAGTGGTTCTCAGTTCTTTTCTAGTACACACAGTGACAGAGGATGTTCACTGCCGATCGAGCTGGATATCCTTCTCCAGGCCCAGCGCATCACTGTCGACAGTGGTTGCTTTGGGATGCTCATTGGCATATCACTAGCGAGGATTCCTCAATGGCAGTTGATGACAGTTTCACTTGGGGATATGATGAGATACTTGTCTAACTGGTCTTTTTCCCCCAGGCCAAATAGCCTAGAATCAAACAAAGATCTGCAGCTGCCACAAACGACTCCTACCACCTTCAGCCGACCGTACGGAGCTGTTTTGCCATTCTCGGTTCTGGTGAAATTTTGGGCGAACAATCAAGCATAATCGAACAGCCAAGTGCCCTGCTCTGTCATATCTAGAGTGGTGACATTGAAAACCCTACAGCATGAGAAAACGAAAACTTCTGATGCATCTGCACAGCCCTTCGCCCTAAGCCCTCACATCATTGGCATTTCATTGGCGTTGCTGTTTGTCACCTGTGTCCAGTCATTGAAGACCAGCGAAGTGCAGCAAGTCAAGGAAACAGGGTCACAGATCGGTTGAAATTTGCACATAGGATGATGATTCTGGGAGTACAAGTTTATAAATACTTTATAAATACTTTATATATATATATATAACTTATATTTATATAACTCTGTTTTGTACAGCTCATCATGGACTCTGCAAGATGTGCGTCGTTGGTAACGAACTCGCACATGTTTCTTTGCCTGGAGCTAACGGAGTCATCTCTGGACAGCGGTACTGCAACTGTGGCCACAAGATCCTAAAACGGGACCAGATAAACCCCGCAGTCTGGGGGAACAAAAAAGTTGGTGCCCAAATCTCGACATCTCGACATCTCGACATCAATTCAGTAAGATTCACTTCATTTCAGCTGGAATTCTGCACCTGGTACGAGAGCCCAAGAGCGGCTTCCAACTCATCGATGCGAGTCTCCAGTCACCCAGGAGGGACCGGAGGGACCAAAGGGACGGCAGGGACGGCGATGTGCCGCCCAGGCCCCTTGATTTCAGTGAACCTTGGTACCGCTGAGCTGCCACGATATGACTTTCATTTGAAGGTGGGATCAAGGAAAATTGAAATTCCAAAACCGGAACTGTCCTCCAAAGAGGAAACCTGGCACCAAACTCCCTGGGCACCCGAAGCATTCTCCTTCACTACATATCCCCGGGTTACTGGGCTGCCGAGCTGCGGAGGCATCACCTGTCCAAGCAACGAATCACTACAATTGAGGGTTTGCGGCATGCCACGACTGAAGCGTTTCCGGGAGATTCGGGGGTTCTGATTCTTTGGATTCTTTGTGTATCCCATTAAGTTCCAATGTAATGAATGCGGATAGAACGCTCTGATTGGCCTACTTCATAAGCAAAGTAATGTATTATTTCAGCCAGTTGCAGCAGCATGTTGCACAACGCAAAAGCGCACGAGCAAGGACAAATGATAAATATAAATAGATGCTGTTCATTTGAAACTTGAAACAGTCACAAGGGGTCAAAGTGAAATTCTACAATAACAGATTTCTGACCCAGCTTGAAGATCTTGAAGCCACTTCAAGGCTTCTGCAGCCCAGTTGTTGGGACCTTCGCCACGGTGCGCCCTGGCACAGCTCGTTGAGGCGCCATTGCAATGCGCAACTCAGGGCCGGCACGCGCCTGGCAGCAAAATGGAAAATGGACCAAGGGCACAGAGATTCAGATGTTTTTCTGGTCGGAATCGCGGCCAAAGTCCAAATTCTGATAGATTTTTCGAGTCCAGGCTTGCAGCTGCCAAACACCACGCATAAGTGTGCCTTTTGCGTGGGTGAAACAGCACCTGGCCCAGGACGTAAGAGAAAATATCACAGAAGGTAGACAGCAACTCTGGGGAGTTTGCCGTTGTCATATTGGCCATGGAAACTCTCTGGGTCGGTCTGCTCAACCGAACAATTCTGCTGTCTCTGAGCTGCCGGACTCCAAGGTGTCAATGCGGTTTGCCCGGCCTTGGGTGGAAGATATGTGGAAGGTGTAGGAATCTGTGGGAATCTGTAGGAACGTGCCATTGGTTCCAGGTCTTCCTGGCTTCAAATTGGCAAATTGATGGGTGTCAACGGACTCTTTGTCCTTCTCAGATCTGTCTCCCGAAAACAGTCTGCGGCCGTGCACATAAAGGATTGTGCGAGTCGTGAAATTCGTGAATTGTATGAGAAGACAATGAAGACATCTGTAAAATGGAACGGTAGGGCAAATCCCATGATTTAGCGCTCGTGTGCCGAAAAAACACGTCGGACATAAAGGCATCGTAAACATAGCCGAAGGCGGCCACACACACGCACCAATCACTGAGGAAGCTGCCCTTCGCCGAGCAGCACCTGCAAAGACTTTTCTTTGTCAACTGTGCACTAGGTTTCCATCCAAACTGCCAACCACCATGGGCCATGCTCACATCATGTCATCGTGCAAACCCTTTTGCAACACACCCCACCTCGTGTAGGCACAGCCGGTTTGCCTGCTTTAGCCACTTGTGCCTGCGTTCGTAGTCTGGCAGCACTTGTAGATGCACTTCACATGCCCCTGTGTTGATTGCGTTGGACTATACGGCATTCAATGCTGCAATGCCTCTACTGTGCACATCCAGGATTGCACTGATGGCAGATGTGTCCCCAAACCACAACGATGCCGCGAATATTGATTTCGGGAAAAGTCTCAGAAGCCACAGCTAGCTCTCAACCCAGAACTTCTCAACCAAAGCACAGTGAAAAGAAGCGGTAGGAGAAGCCGCAAGCGCATAAGGAATCATGAGGAATCCAGAAACTTCCCAAGGCCTTCAAAACAGCATTCTCTTTGGCCAGACTTTCAAGGCGATCAAGCTGTTCCTAGTCAAGCATGTCTGTCTGCTTGTAATACCACCTGACTTGATATCGTCCTACCATCAGGCCAGCATGTCTTGTGTTGTCGCCAAATAGGAGAAAAACATGGTACCTGGTAGCAACAAAGACATTGGTACGAAGAACCTAAGTTTCAGGAACCTGATCTGATTCGCAGAGGCCACGTGACCCATGGTGCCTGCTGTCGGTTGATCTTGGCCACCAGTCCATGTCGATCTACAACCTGCTTGGAAGGCATCCATCCATGCTGTCCATCGGTGCTGACCTCAACGGTCCCATGCGCCGTGTGCCATGCCTGGGCTTCCAAGGCGGCGATCCGCTCCAACAGGATTTGTTCCAGGCCACCTCTCAGAGCTGCTTGGGATGGTCGGGGATGGCAGCACCAGGAGTCACAGCTGGAATCGACCCTTCACTGCACTGCATCACATGCTCCCGCATCTTTTTCATGTGCTTTCCAGCCTGAAGATGGAACATTGTCATCTTCCGCACTACCTTCACCTTGCAAGGATCAGGAGGCGGATACCGCATTTTCCAGGACTCCGACTCCGGCACATTATTTCAGAGTGTCCAACAAGCACCTCGGGCTCCCGACCCCCAGGAGAGTTGCGCATCTGGTCTCGTGGCGACTCAGGAAGACCTTAGTGCAGGCTCCAGAAAGGGCCAGTTGCAGATCTCCAGATGTTTAGAGTTTAGACTCCTAAAGGGGCGCGGCTCACCCCTGCGGTCTTGCAGTCAAGCCACGTGGTTCTGACCGCGCAGTGGAAACTGCTACAGGACTGGCCGCTGTGGCCACTCGAATTGTGGCAGAGCGACCTGTCCGCGTAACAAGGGGACTGTTGAAGCAAGTTGGGATACGGCTAATGAATGTCCAATGATTCTCAAAGTCATCAAGTTCTCTCTCGCTGGCACTGTCCGGCAAGGGAAAAGAACTCAAAGTGGCTGCAGATGACGACGGCATTTTGAGGAAAAATCAATCCATGGCGTTGTTCTTGGCCAAGAGATTCTGGGATCTGGCTCCGTAAGCCTTTTTGCACATCAACGTTGAAAGCTAGGCAACTATGTCGTAACTATGTTATTGAAGTGTGTCCTTTTATATCAAATGAATGAGTGCTGAGTACCAGAGAGGCAGAAAGTGTTTTGCCCAACAATCCTCGGACCTCCTCCACCAGTTGACCTTGGAGAGGCATTCTTTGGCCTTCCGAACACACAGCACAACGGTGGCACAACAGGCAAAAGAGGTCCTTTGAGATTGTTTGAAACAGTTAGTCTTTCAGTTCGCATTGCATTGCCCATTGCCCCAAAACAACTCCCAGCCTCGGAACAACAGCACTGGCAGAGCGGGTCACACCATTCACAGCACCTCAGCTGTAAACCAATGCCCTTGAAGCATGGGGGTGAATCAAGGCAAGGCTTGTGACTTGTGACTTTTACCTTTTACCCAAGCGAAGAGCATGATAACTGAGGGATACTGAGGGCATGTTTAACAAGTTTGTAAAGAGTATATTGAGAATCTGATCTGAACGACTACACTCGTGTAGCGTCCCCAAAAACCTGGCAGCTGTACGCATGAGCACATTTGCAAAACAACCTTTTCCTCTCAGCTCAGCAATCATCCATATGCCATGAAAATCATTCTCTGCCCTCCTTCAAAGTACTATTCACATGGACTCTACCTGGAGTCAGAAAGCCTCTTTGGCTTATTTTGGCCTATGCCTCACCTTGCGTCATTTGCTCAGGGGGCTGTTCTTGGGTTGCATCAATGAAAGCCGAACTGTGTTCATATTGTCGAGGTCTGCGTCAAAGAGCTCAGGATTCCGTTTGGCCAAAGGTAGCAGCGCCTCTTTGGTGAGCAAAGAAGTTTGGCAATCGAACTTCTCCCACACGTGGTTCAAAGTGAAGTTCGTGTAGCGCGACAGAGGGTCCACCTCCTTTGCTGGGACCTTCAGCTTCGCAAAAGCGCGATGCCATTTGAAGACATGAGCAATTTCCTTGGCCGCGGCCGACATCTCACCCTGTTTGTTCAACTTGGTTCAGAAATTTGAGCCAATAGGGCTACCAAGCACGTCTGGTTTCCACATGAGCAATGTGCTTTTGCGGATTTTTACTGGACTGTCACCAAACGCCTTTCTATGTGCTATCTGGAAGTTTCAATCTGGGGCTCCCAGCTATATCTTGGCCGGGGCCTCAGGGGCGGCGCCTTTAAAAATGACTTCTGCAGTCCGTAGTGGTGGAAACATCACCTGCAAAAAGCCTTTTTGGTCTCCTCCATGAGGGGACTTCCTCTGGTGTCAAAGGATATGACGCAGGAGAAGAGTGCGGGGAAATAAAGCGGGTGGATCGCAAACATCCAAAACACCCGATGTGAACCTTTTCAGCCACAGGTGCATAAGGAGACTTGGCATCCCTGGCGATGAAGAGGCCTCGCAAAGGATCTCCACGCCTCACAATGTCACACGTCCACCGATTTCAACTACAAGGTCCAAGATGGCCCAAGCAACAATTTGCTGGTTTCGAAAAGACTCTGAAACTCAAATGTAAGCATGGTATTGGATGGGCAAAGCATTCTAGCATTGAAAGTTCACAAGATCTTGGGGATATTAGATAACTTCAGAGAAGAGCTTGAATCTTGTGCTGTTCTTGTTCGTTCATCCAAACCTGGTTGCGAAGCCATGCTTTCATCCACTGACCAGAGAATCATATGCACTTCTGAGATCCCTTGCCCACTTGGTCCAACCTTCAGCATTGGCGACTGCTGGGAAACTGATGTTTGCGTGGGATAAAAATCCTACGTAACCATATCGGCAAGAGTACAACAATGTTTCGTGAAAGCAATCTACGGGAACTCTGGTATAAGGAAGACTTGAAGAACAAGGAAGGTCTGACGCTTCTGGAATGACCTATCTTGTTCGCTTGTAACTGTGCTAGGGTGCCTTGACAGTTGCCAATCTATTTATGTGATTTATTCGTGATCACATATCACATATTCATTCTTTTCAGACTCGAATGAAAGCTGGTCTCAGGCAAACGTTCGCAACAAAAAATGTTTGTCTGCTTATCATATCTGATCATTGAGTTATCATGTAGTGTGCATGCAGCTTGGCATATACCATGTGTGTTCAATTGCAGTTCTCGCTCTTCCAGTGGGGCGAAACTCAAGACCATCAGTTTGATTTGAAAAACATGACTACAACAAACACTTCCAGCAAACAAACGCCTACAAAAATGTCCAAACGTCCCAATCGCCCCAGCCTTTCACTGGAACGTAACCCAGAGGCCGTAGGCTTGCCTGGCTCAAAGTATTACATCAGTGGGACAAGGTGCAAACGTGGAGGTGCGGCTTTTCTGAGCAAACCAAGCTTACTACTTGGCCAATTCGCCAATTCTGAACCTGAAAATAAAACGAATGAAACGAATGAAATAGAGGTGCCCTTCAGGTGCCCTTCGCTCATCTTCGTCTGCCCTTCGCAGTGCCACAAGCCTCGAGGCGATCTGCTCGAAGTCGCTCTGGAGGCGCCTGCGCCCAACGCCTCTGCGCTGTGGCTTCTGACACCTGGACCTGGCAACACGACGCCATGACACAGGTTTGATGCCACATGAAGTTCATTTGTTGTCATGAGCTGCCAAGCCCACTCTTTATTCGCTGGATGTGTTGACGATGTTCCAAAGACACGAATCTGGCACCAAACCCTGAGACGACCAGCACCTCCGCCCCTCCATGGCATGGTAGAGCGACTGGGGACTGGCTTCTCCACACCTGCACAAACTCTTTACATCACTGCGAGACTACAGTTTGATGGAAGTGGTGGGTGAAGGGATTTAAATCTGAGAGTGAATGAACAGCACCTCCAGAACATTTCCGATGGTTCACCAACAACATGTCATGGTGGCTCGCCTCGTATGTAGCTGCGAGGGCTCACCTGCGCAGCTGACCTTGGTCGCAAGTTCTGCTTGACGTTGCTTAACTATCATCCTACTACCGTTGGTGTCACCGCGGCCATCACCATCACCGTTGCCAGATTGCAATTCTGTGGCTGGAATACCAACAAGTGCCGTTAATCCATCACCCCTCGCTACTAGTGGCTATGTCAAGTGTGACTGACTCCGACATAGGGGGTGGACCCCAGGGTGTGTACTGACTCTGTCATTGGGTGACTGACTCTGTCCCCTTCCCCCCATCTGAGCTTAGATCTGTTGAGGATACCTGGCATGAAGGCGAGTCCATGACGCCATGTATGGATCGGAGATCAAATTACTGCTCTGGTGAAGCACCTTTTTTTTAAAGTGAGCAGGGGCAAAACATGCAACTTTGAAAAAATGCCGAGTAAGCGTCTTCAGGGTATGGCTTAGAAAGCGAGTGCAAAAATCAGAACCTCCTCTATATACACATCATAAAGCGCATTGTGAAAATGCGGAATCGATTACCGTACCTCGTTCAATCCTAACTTAGCTTGATATGCAGGAGTTGGCTGAGCAGCTGTCAACCTATCGTCGCATCCTGTGGGTACTTGGTATGAAAACAACATCACCACATGCAACATGCCGGCAGATCGGCTGATGCGCACCCCTGGGAGATGAACCTGAGGACTTAAACCAATTGGCAGCTGGGATGTCACCTTCAAGTACGCCTATGCAGCCGGTGGTTCTCCTAGCTTCCTCCTTAATGGTGGCTTTTCTGGAACTCCTTTCCGTTCAAGTCCTGTGGGTGTACCACGTATTCATTTCTCTTTCATCCTCTTATCTTACAAAGAAGGTCACTAGGGGTTATGGATGTCATTACGCGGACTATGCGTCTATCGCTGCAGCCAGGCGGCTATAAACGCTTCCTCTGACCTTTGATCAAACGGGGGCGTCGGTCTGCAAGGTGTGGAGTCTGGATTCTGATATGTCGGATATGTGTCTTGCAAACTGCCCGAGTCAGAAGGAAGCAGCAGAGTTATCAAAGGACCTACCGTAGATCTACTGTAGTACCTACCAACATACTTCTCAATACCCAGACAGGTCAGCTGGGCCACTGGGTCCCCTGCAGATCCAACAGCAGGTTTTGGCCGTGTCGGCATTGACACCATTCCTGCAAGTGCAAAAGCATGAAATTCCAATGTGTATCGTGGTCCTTCTGTGCACCTCGATTCTCATCAACTGCACCAGACACTGCATTGTCACTATATCAAATGGAAGGACATAGCCAGACATAGCAAGGATCGCTGGTGATGCAAATCTGGAAAGCTGCAACCTTTCTCAGTATATTGTCAGAACATAATACCTGCAGAAGCAGTAGCTCCGAGCGCCACTGTTTATTGTCTGGGACCCCCACGCTCCACTGGCCCCCGTCGTGGACTCCATGCCATGGCGCGGGCCGGGCGCTTGTGGCCAACGGTAGATGTCGAGACACTCAACAAATCTCAACAAAGGGCCACAAAGGGAGGAAAAAAATTGGAATTCTGATGAATTCTGATATCTATTGATATCTTATCGTCAAAGAAATCTCTAAGCAGGTCATGTTTGATCTGCAACAAATGTGTCATTGCCTCTCGCTTCACAGATTGACTCGCATGAGCGCGTCCCGTGTAGATGTTTATTAGAGGTAGCCGAGCTGAAGCATTGTTTCCCATTTCCAAAGAGTCAAGAAAGGTTTCAGGATGGAAGGCCCAAGAGATGTAAGATATTTTCTGGTCTTATTCAAACTTGAGCAGACCCTGATCCTGCTATGATTTTCTCATGATCCTCCAATGGATCGCTAGCCGCTAGCATTTCCATCTATCTATGTACCTTTGAGCCACCCCCCTCTTGGCACCAGAAAGCATTTCAGGCAATCGGAAGAGTGTTGAGTGCACCTCCCCTTGAAAAACTGTTTGGTTTCAAGAAGCCTACAGTACATCAACCGATGTTCTCCACCACTTGATCTAAGCCCCCTATCTCGCGGCTCCTCAATACCAAGTCCACCCAATCTCAAGCAGGCTGGACAACAATCACCTGTCGCATTTAATTATCAGTCTTGCCTGAAGTTGCTTGCACTCTTCCATTTGTAGCAGTAGATCCTGGATTTCTTGGTATCCAGACCATCCACGGACGATTGACCTGAGTGCAAGCAATATCTCTAATTCGCTGTAGTCACCGTTGTACTTCTTTAGTAAATCTACTAAATCAAAGCCCACCTTTGTTGCGGAACTCTCATTCTATGCACAGCCTTCCAACCCATAGCAGCATAGCATTCTGAGTGCAGCCAAGCCACAACAAGGTTTCGTCACCCCTGGGCCCTAAACGCATCAAGGCATCTGCTGCAGCTCGCCGAGACTGGCACACCGTTGCGCCAAACAAAGAAACTAGGGCCAGTTGTGGGCCGGCCCCGGCTTCTTCCAGAGGTTCGTTGGCCGGTCGGGGATCCTTAATTTGTAATTTTTCTTTGAATAGTATATGTGTTCATTGCAGTTCTTGGTGAATGTGGCTCAGCCATGACTGGTTTTGGCAGCAAAATGCTCATTCGCGCCTCCATCTGGTATCCCGCATCTTCTGGTGGCAGCACATCCTGCAGCTGTGCATGGACTGCACCACCTGCCGGTGCATGGCAGGATCCACCGTGCGGGTCCAAAAAATGGGGAACCCGCACAAATTCAGTGAGACTTCTGACGACACTAGCAGTCATACCCACTTATCCGATCTTATCCGGATAAAAAATTGGGGAAACCCCAAGAAACCCCAAAAATTGAAAATCACCATTTTCCCTAACTGCGGACGTCGTGGAACCACGCTGAGGTGAACTGAATGCAGCTCTGCTCCTTCATTTCACACGTTCCTACATCCCAGCGCCTTTCATCTTGAAATGGAGTAAATTCCCCCTTATATATGATAAACACCAGTAGTACCGCACAAGGCGGTGGCGGAAGTTTCAAAAATAGGAAACCTATAGGAGAGATTGGTTGTTGTGAATCACGGATGGCAGAGCGAATCCACTGATGGACCGAAAGGTGGTTGGAGTTGTGTTTTTTGGAGTGGTTGCAGTGGTCACCTCACCACAACTGTTGGATGTAGTGTGGTGTAGTGCAGTTGTAGTTGTATTGTAGTTGTAGTTGTAGTTGTAGTTGTAGTGTAGTGGAATTGTAGTTGTAAGTTGCAGTTCTCATATGATGTAATTAGTGTAGTGTAGTTGCAGTTGAAGTTGCGGTTGTAGTTGTGGTGTGGTGTAATTAGTGTAGCATATTGCAGTGTATTGTGGTGTACTGTAGTGTTGTGAACTGTAGCGCGGTATAGTGTAGTGTAGTCTAGTGTAGTGTAGCGTAAAGTAGTGTAGCTTGTAGTTGTAGTGTATTGTTAGTAGCGTAGTGTGGCGAGAGCAACGTAGTGGTAGTTGTAATTGCACTTGCAGTTGCAGCTGTAGATGTAGCGTAATGTAATGTAATTAGTGTAGTGTAGTGTTGTGTAGTGTTGTGTAGTGTAGTGTAGTTGTTGTAGTTGTAGTTGATGTATATTTGCAGTTGTAGTGTGCTGCAGTGTAATTAGTGTAGTGCAGTGTAATGTTGTAGTTGTAGTTGTAGTTGTAGTTGTAGTTGTAGTTGTAGTTGTAGTTGTAGTTGTAGTTGTAGTTGTAGTTGTCTGTCTATTTACCTAATCTATCTATCGATCTATCTATCTCTCTGTCTGTCTATCTATCTATCTTTCTTTCTTTCTTTTCTTTATTTCTTTCTATCTATCTATCCATCTATCTATGTATAAGCTATTTTGCGAGACTTCCTCAGTTTTTGAACTTGACAACGTCAAAAACGAAACAATTCTGCGAGACTTCCTTCAGAAATGGAAAGTTGAGTGCAGAGCTGACGGCCTCGTACCATTGCGTTTTGCGATTTTTCCACTCCACCTGTCTAAAGTATTGCGCCTTTCACGAAACAGTGATGCCAGGTCATACGAAGTGCTGCACCTGTCACGCAAAATCATCTTAGCAAACCTACAGATCTGATGCTCCAAAATGCAACCCCTCTCAGGAAATCAGCGCCCTGACCTCCTAACAGCTGTGATGAACATGTCTTTTGTATTGCACCTGCCACGGAAAATGCATCTTTGCAGATCCTCTTCAAATGTCCCACGCCTGTCATCGCTTTTGGAAATGCGACAAAACCCTCACGTTTTGCTCACTTTTGACAAGGTGCACAATCCCTTGCGCCTGCCAGGCGAAACGACATCTGAACGTCCAAGAGTGCTCCGTACCCGTCAGTTTTTTGCACTTTTGACTTCGAAATGCGCTTCGCACCACAACGGCCTACATTTTTTCGACATCTCAACTTCCAAAAGTGGTCCGAGCATGGTTTTTACATTTTGACTTCGAAATGCGCTTCGCGCCATAACGGCGTGCACTTTTTCGACATCGCAACTCTTAAAAGTGCTCCGAATCTGAGGTGCTTTGTACATTTTGACTTGGAAATGTGCTTCGCGCCAAAACCGCGTGCAACTTTTCATCTCTCATCTGACCACATGGCTCCGCACCCGCCGCTTTAGCGAGCCTACTTTTCGACCCTCCGGAGCCACAAATCATTGGAAAAACACAGTGTTCCGCGACTTTCCTACCTCCTGGATCTTCTTTCTTCTGAGACTTTCTCTTTTTTAATCTTCTTTCTTCTTCTCTTCTCTTCTCTGACTCTTCCCATCTCTGCTTTTCATCTGTCCATATTGTCAGAAGTTTGACTTCTAAACTTCCTTCGATGATGATCAAACCAAAGGATGCAATGGGATTCCCCAATCTTGAGACAGCCTGATATTCACACCTGCAAGAAGGTTGAAACCCACTCATGATTTTCGAGGCTAATATGGTACACAACGTAATGTGGTGTAGCATGGCTCTGCAGTCTGCATCTTTCTACTTTTCGCATTGGCAGCTTCCGAATGGCCTGGCTCTGGCCGTTGGTTTCCAGCAGCCTCCCAGAGGCTATCCAGAGCACACTCCCGCACCACCTGGACAGGGCAAACTCTGCCTCCATCTGCACACGACAGGAAGTCACAAAGTCCAATGAAGCCGTCAATGAAGCGCAAAGTCCAACACTTTTGCAACTTGGATGTGTGCAAAACTGCATGAAAAGACCTCGATACAAGGTGCAGGACAGAATGGTTATATTTGCACAACATTCGTCTGAGGAAGTATGTTCTCAAAAAAAAAGGATGCCTTTGATGCCATAAATTGATGGTATACAAGTTTTTGAATGTGTCAAACTGAGAGATAGCATCTTTTGTCTCAAAATTCTGCATAAATAAACCAAACTTATTGAAGTGGTGACCCTTTTAGCTCACTCTCAAACACCCCTGCCAGGAAGCGTGTGCCTTCCGACGGTCCAGCAGTGCATGGGCCTGGCGACGAGCCCAGAACAACGGAAATTCAGGAATTGGCAGGGAGTTTTATGACAAGGTGGGAGGAAGAGGACCTACAGTCAAGCCAAAACCAATGCCAAATCGTCCAAATCCGAGTCTTTGCGGCCAGCCCAACCTGCGCTGCTAAAGCACCCCGATGCCCAGTGGCAGCTGCGGGGGTCAAGCGCTGCAGGGCGGTGAGCCTTTCGATAAGGCTGCAAAACCGAAAATCCTGGAGGCCTCGCATGTGGGATGGGGCCCAGCCTCAACGGCTGTTCCGTCAGGGTACGTCCATCCTGCCAACGGAAAGCAAGAATTTCAGCATTTGATTCGTGGTATGCAAAAAATCAAGTTTACTTGTTTTTGATGCATTACTATCTCTTGTGAGGGGAAACTTGCTTTGATTGGATTTCGATTGGCCAAAAGATATGTTTTTCTTTGTCAACAGAGTAAAGTTCTTCAACCGTATTCATGGACATCGCAAGCACATTCGAATTCCATGAACTTACAAATCAGAAATGTTGGCTCTTGCAGGTCCTTGAGGGTCGTGAGGAGTTTCTTCACACTCCCCTGGTGGCAGTGTGGCAATGGGAATTCGTTCGCATTGAGTCAAAGATTTCAGCCTGTGGGAAAGCCTGATTGTTTTGTGCATTTGTCAAAGCAAAGCAATGTAATGGTTTGTTTTGAATATAGATTTATGGAAACTGTGGAGACCTCCTATTTTATCATGTGTTGATCTTATCTCCGCGCCAATCATAGGTAAAACCATCCCAAAAGAACCTTGAGGAACCTTGCAAGAACAAAAATTTCAAGTTACTCATCTAGAAAACCTGCAAATGCAATTTGACACTTTGATTTATCTCACAGGAAAGGAACAACATGCAATTGTCAGCGTTTTACGACACTCTGTGTGCCTTCAAAGTAACACCCTCCGCCCAACTGTCACCTGGTGGGAGCCCTGTTTCTTCTCCAAAAGATGACCCCATTGGCGCACCTGAAAGCATCATGAGTCATGATGAGTCGGTCATAGTCTGTTTATGAAAAGTAAGAATGTGCATGATGACTGTCTTATAGATTCCAATGATTTTTCATCTCACTCTATGAAAGCAACCAATCTGGTTGCTTGGTTTCAAATTTTGACTCTACACAAGAATTGTAGCCAATCCAACGCAAGAAACAATTTGTTTTCGCTATCAGTTCGGCTTTAAAGTTTGAATTTACCACTGGTCCATTTACCTTGAAGCAGGTCAGTTCAAGTTCTTTTCTTTCGTTGGAGAAACCCTGGCCGACCTGGAAAGTGCGGCAAGGCCACAGATCCTGGCAAATTTGGCAAGATTTGTTCAAAGTAAAACCAAATTCCAATGTCAATTCAACAAATTCACAATTCAATCAATTCATCACTTTCCACATTCAATGATTCAATGCATTTCCAGCAATGCTCGTGCGTCCTGGTCGATCTTGACATCAATTTTTTTCTCGCCTCCGGCGCTACCTGGCAGGAATTTAAATGTGTTTACTTGCAAAAATAACGTTAATGTTTCAAATATGAAATCTCTCCAACAGATCCAGTTTTGTCGGTCCCCCGTCACCTCTTTTTTTCTGCGTTGAGTTCGGGTCCCTGGCACAAACAGGTGAAAATAGTTTTTTGTGCAAAAGCAGCGCTGGAGAAACAACGCGGATATTAACAAATAAATTCACAAAAAAACACGGCAAATACTAAGATTTTTCCAAATAAAAGTTTTGAATGGTGGTTCAATTGTGCAGACATTCATGCCGAACCTGGAATTCGTACGCGACATGGCAAAACAACTTGTGGCATCACCCCATTTTGCAGAGAATCCACAAGCACTGCCAGAATTCGGCCGAAATGAAACCGAATATGGGGTATTGCCAATGTATTGCGGTGTACAAAAGACAATGTTTCACCAAAATGGTTCTTGCAAATGTGTTTATAATGAACTGACATTGACGAAGGAACCTGCATGAAATCACACTGGTTTCAAATTTGCACGATTGGTTTTGAAATGGTGAGCCAAAAGCTTTTGAAATCCACAATGGAGGTTGCATGCAAATAAACAATAACAAAAATGCCACATCAGCAACGAAACCAAAGTAAAAATGCAAAACACAATGCGGGCCCTTTTCCGATCACGGTCCTGATCACACCAAGATTGTTGATTGGTTTCAACGTGTCGCGTGCGACTTGCCAGCATTCACTTGTGCAATTCGCTCAGTTTGACTCCAAAATTTGAAAATAAAATACCCACATGGTATCCAAACAGCTATATAAAACGGTAGGAAACCGTGAGAGCAGCCAGCATACACATATTATCAAGTTTCATGTTTTGGTATAAATTCTGAGGAACACCCGGAACCGGCACTGAGACCTCCAAAACGACCGAATTTGTATCTGTTCTTGCTATTGTTATCGCTAGGATATCAATTTGCTCCACGAAGTGGTAGTTGAGACACCCAGAAATATCAAAACCCGAGATCATTGACGACCAGCCATGACGGTCAGCCACACTACTGGAACCCACGCACATCAAGGTGGCCGACCCTCTGATCTGTCCGAAAAGGTAACCAAATTGCGGTGACGGAAACACCGAATTACCAGACTTCCCTGCACCTCCGCAACCCCCGCGATTGAAACACACTGGACGACAATATGGCCCGAAAGGAAGCAGGAGGGACGAGAAGCTAACACAAAAGAAAATGTGCTGATGAAGGATGATGAATGATGGATGACGATAAAAATGATGGTAAATGAAAACTGATGTGGACAAAATATCAAATATCTACAGTTCGATGTTTTGTCCCGACAAGAGGTTTGCTCCAAGGTTGGCAGTGACAGTCAAACAAATGTCGATGGAATCCAGCTGGGTTATGTTAGCAACCTTGGAACCACCCAACGATATTGTTTTTGTTCACTGACAGATTCCAAGAAAGCCTTTACACTCTACACCGAGCAGTTTTTACACACAAAATTTTCCACACAGAGAAGATCAGAGAAACGTTTGCACAGATGTTTTACGCAGAACAGATTTTATACAAAAGAACCTTCGCACAGAACAGCTACTACACACGGTTTTTTTGCACACAGAAACTTTTGTATACACAGGGCAGTTTTGACACACAGACGCTTTTACACACGAACGCCTTCACACAAAGAATTTTCCACACAGAACAGTTCCTACACACAGAAGTTTTTGCACACAGAAGCCTTTACACAGAGCGGTTTTTACACACACACAATACACAAACGATTTTACACACAAACGCTTTTACGCAGAAAATTCGTTGCGCACAACAACTCTTAGACACAAACGCTCTCTCACACAGAAGTGTTTAAAAAAATTACTCAGAGGAGTTGGCCCCGCATTGGCGGCACCGATTTTTCAACAAAACTATTTTTTTTCCTTGTAGAACACTCCCCCCACAATTTCAATGTTGCCAACAATAGCCAGGCGATGCAAGGACAAGAATTTTGTTCAAAAAAAATCGAAGAATGCCTCCTAAACCCTTGCGGCAAAATAAAACTCCATGTGACTACAAACCCACAAAAAAAACAAAAAACGTAGCAAGTGCCACACAACGTTGAAATTTGGAGGGATGCGGCCAGGTAGGTGCAACTCCCCGCCTAAAAGTGCAAAGACTCAGGCGAAAACGCTGCAGTCTATTTTCACTCGTGCCAAAAGGGTCTCACAAGTTTCAACTGCACATGCTGTTCATGTCAGTCTATGAAGTGAAATGACAAATGCAACTCTCTTATCGATTTGTGCGTGTCATCCTGGCACATGTGAGTGGGCTCCACAACTTTCCACACTCCTCCTTTGTGGTTTGAGCGTGGCTCATTCCACAACTCCAAAATTTTCACCTCTCAACGCAAATTTCAGCTCTGCTGTCTGACTCTGCATCATCCAGTGAAAATGTTTTCGAATTCAATCTTTCAAATCATCAAGCTCTGCATGTCTTCGACATAGAGCCTAAACCTGTCTCGGCGTTCATCATCTCCTCTGTTAGGGTGAAAACGATATAGCCTCTGGAATATGTTCCTGATCTCATTTGAAATTCTTGTACTGAATCCCTCTGTTTAGAGTGGAATCTAGCACCAGACAAATTGCCTGCTGAATCATGCTGGCCTCATGCCAGCGTTCTGCTGCAAGAGCTTGGTTCTGATCTGCCCTCATGTTCTGTAAGAGGGCTTCCATTCCAGTAGGTCTATTGGATTGGTTGTCCTCCACATCTGTTGTCGGACTTTCTTCTTCTCCTCCTTCGTGATCTTCTTGCTGATGTACAATTGGGTCAGTTGAATCTGCACGGTTTCTATGATTCCAAAGCACCAGGTTTCCTCTTTCTTGCGTTAGCATGTGTCGATACTGCTCGGCTGTCAGTTTAGCGTTCCTGACAAAACCACCTATCTCCATCAGTCCATACCTCACGCAATTTGAGGTTTCCTCCAGAGCATTGAAACCTTCTATAGTTTCCTGTTCAAAACCAGTCTGTCTAGCCATCACCGTGTCAATTCTGTTTGACGCATCTGTTGCTAAAGCGTTGCAATCTTCTATTCTTCCATTCAAATCAGCTGCATACTCATAGTGATCGGCTAACTGGATCTGGGCTTGCTCCAACTCGTTTGAAACTCCCAGCACTTGGTTCTCCAGTTTCTTGATTTTCTCTTCAATCCACTTCCATGCTCTGAATGCCAGCTTTGAAAACACAGTACCCATGCAAATCACCAAAACCGCAATTGCAAATGAAAACCATGATGTGTCCTTGGTCTCATTGTCCATGTTTGCGCGATCTGATTGCGCCATCGCCGCAACCGGTCCTGCTGACTCAAGACCCCCAGCAACTCCCATGGCAATACTCATGCGTAAAATGGCTTTGGAAATTCTTTTCAATTGTTGGGAATTCAATCTCCTCTCATCTTGAATTGCATGCTCATTTGCTCCAACCCTTGAAAAGTCTGCAATGAAAACCAGTTCACATTCAT